TGTTTTTTCTCAATTTTTGGCAATAGCATATATTAATTTTACAATCAGAACAAAAGGAAGACTGTTATTTAAATTCATATATTAGCTAATTTAGGGTTAGCAGAGATGTCTAGTATTGTAGTCTTTTACTCTTCCCCTAATTTATCTCCGTTTCTTCTGTTTAATATCTTTGATAAAGAGCCTCTGTATTATTGTCGATAGATTAAGAATAATAAAAATAATTTTTAAGTTACAAACTCCATAGTAGCAGTAATAGAATCTGCAACTAGAAAATTGCTTACAAATGGACTGTGTTACTCTGAAATTACTTATTTTATTTCATGTGTCCAAAATAGATCTCAGGGGCTTCCCTGGTGGTGCAGTGGTTGGGAATCCGCCTGCTAATGCAGGGGACGTGGGTTCGTGCCCCGGTCCGGGAAGATCCCACATGCCGCGGAGCGGCTAGGTCCGTGAGCCATGGCCGCTGAGCCTGCGCATCCGGAGCCTGTGCTCTGCAACGGGAGAGGGCACAACAGTGAGAGGCCCGCAAAAACAACAACAACAACAACCAAAAAAAAAACAAAACAACCAAAACAGATCTCAGGAAAATCCTAGTAAAGATGGCATTTCATGGCATTGAGTTAGCATTTAATAATAATTGGAGAGACGCTAAAGCTTATAAGCCTATTAAGATCTACAGAACAGAAAAAATTGTGTGTATGTGAAATGTTAGGTTCATTTTCTAAGAAGATAGGAGAAACGAAAACATTTTGTTAGACATGTGCTCATGAGTGAAGTTATGGATGGCTGATTCTTATTGACCATTGCAGACTAAAGAAAATATTTCTCCAAAATATCTGCTTAGATCCATACTGTGCAATTATACTGAGAAGTGGTTGCTGCCCCAAACTTGGGTGATACCATTGGAAACCCTCCATTTAGGGCAGTTGATGAGGGCAGAGTGGAAGAGCCCTCCCACCCCTAACAAAGCTGGATGGAGAGAGAACAGTGTGGTAGAGAAGGAAGCACACAGGCTGGGAGGTGGGTCTGGTTCCCGTCCGGGCTTAGCTTTGAGGCCTTTGTCAAATCACACCATCTCTGAGCCTCAAAGCCCAAAAATATCTAGCAAAGACCGTAATACCTATGCCACAGGGCTCTCATTAGATCAATCAAGTAAAAACATGCAAAACACCCAGCAGAGTGCTCAGCACACAGTAACTTCTCTAAATAGGTTAGATCCTTCCCTGTGAGACAGGCCTAGAGCCCACACCTTCTCATCTGAGGATACCTCATAGCTTCACAGCCTGGTATCCAGCCTGAGAAGATCCTGTGACTTCCAATATTTTCTACTCTGTTTCTTATATTCTATATTTTAAAAAGAAGAAGAAGAAGAAGTGGGCCAAATTTGAGTTTTCTTAATAAATGTTAGTGTCACTTGCTACACTCTGTGTTTCATTCATTTATGCCTGGTGTTATAATAGAAATTAATTAAAAAGATTATTCACAAGAATTATTATTTGTTAGAAAAGCTACTATTTTATATATTTCATTTGTGAAGAAACAAAATGATAAAAGAATTTTTTTTTAAATCAAAGAATTGGGCTTCTCTGGTGGCGCAGTGGTTGAGAGTTGGCCTGCCGATGCAGGGGACATGGGTTCGTGCCCCGGTCCGGGAAGATCCCACATGCCGCGGAGCGGCTAGGCCTGTGAGCCATGGCCCCTGAGCCTGCACGTCTGGAGCCTGTGCTCCGCAATGGGAGAGGCCACAACAGTGACAGGCCCGCGTACCGCAAAAAAAAAATCAAAGAATTTTCTACAGCAAATCACAAAAAAAGAGAGATGTTTCCCTTTATGCTGATACTGTTTTCTAAACAGTCAAAAGCATCTCAAGAGATTCAATAAGGAAGTGGGAAAAGGTGATTTTGAAGTATTATTTGGAAAGAAATAGGCTGAAATAATTGCTAGAGGGTGTCATAATGCGATAATCAACTTGTAAAGTTTCACTATTCTCTTGTGGCTAGAATGACATATTTAGAAGCATACCGGTTTAATGTAATCTAAATCCATTTATATGCTTGAGTGTGTAGTCAGTGTATATTTCCTTTTTGCTGTCTTCATGATGTTTCAAATAATAGATTAATATTGACCTTATGGTGTAGTTCTATTTAGAAAATTGAGCTTGAACTATGGGTAATTATGTGTATATATTTCTTACAATGTTTTAAGACACTGGATTAAAAAAAAAAAAAAACCTGCAGAGTTGAATTACTGTCAGCCCTGAAGAGCTGCTGCTAAGCCAAGTTGTATAGTTTCATGAATTGCCAACTCAGTTATCAGACAGGTTCTGAATTCTAGAAGCATTATCCCACAAGATAAATGGACAAGTCAGAAATGACACAGCTTGATTTTAAGGTACCAGGTGGAGGTGGCAATACAATCTGGGGGAAATCTTGGTTTGATATATGAGTGCATTCACGTGATTTGGCAGTGGTTTTAGACACCATGGAGATGTCACGTGGCCGACCTTCCTGCTCTGTTCTCAGACTATACCACACTTGTGAAACAGTGAGGCTCATGGGGTAATAACTCAAAAGCCAAAAGGCTGTAAAGCAAAAAAGTTGCTAGCAGGCACTAACCTGGGTGTCATGACTCTTTTCAGGTAGTAGGTGTAACCTTGAAGAAAAAGTGGCACTGTCTTCAAAAAAGTGACCTGACCCTGGCTTTGGTGGGTTTTTCTGCAAGAAATAAAAAGCACCGCATGTGTTTATTATACATCCTTTCTAGCTGACCACTGCTTTGTTCTAGAGTTCAGCATGAAAGGACTAATTTTTGTTTTCTTTTGTTTTTGTTTTAGTGAAATGGCATGTCCGTTGCTAATTCTAGCTATTATAGTTGCACATGTGAAAAATACCTATACGTAGTTTATAGATTGGTAGCATTTCAAATAAATGGTATACTGAAATATTGACCTGAAATTTTTTGAGATGCTTATCAATTGATATTTTTTTCTTAGCCCAAGAAAAGAGTCTGAATCATTATTTTTTAAATTTTACTTTGTAACATTAGATATGTTTTTAAAAATATATTAGGAATTTAAATACAAGCATGCCACTTTGTTTATTGCTATATTATTAAACCTCTTGGAGCATGGAAAGAATTCTTCACAAATGATTTTGCTCTTTTGAAAAAAATAAGCTGCAAAAATATTTGTTAAACTATATATAGTCTGTCAATGAGGGTAGCTTATAAAGGTATACTGAGCTTACACTATGTAATGTTTTATCCAAATAATTTTTATATTTTGAAAAAATGTCAAATAGTTTAAGAGTGCCATAAATCTTTTCCCAGAATTCAGAACTGTATGTATCTCTATTTTAGGAAGATGACATTGCTTCATTAAAGGAAAAACCTGGATCATTATGCACCCCAATTTGTATGCAGTGAATCACTGTTGCCCTTTATTCTTCCAGAATTCAGTTAATCTAAGGATTGTGCCCATATAAACTTTTCAGAACACATAAGAAAATTACCACTGTTATATCTGATGAATAAAATCTCTAATAGTTGATTTTCTATCATAGAAATAACACATTATCATTCAATAATGCTAGTTTTTAAGTTACAAACCAAAGAAACAAACTTTCAGCATTGTAAAGAGATTCACACATTTTTAAATGTAGTGACTATACAGAAAGGTTTTTTTTGTTCCCATAAATAAAAGCTGCCACTCATTACATTTTAGAAAGGCAATGCCTGAAAAAATGGACAATGTTCTGCTTCTTAGAGTCAACCTACCTTTTAAATACTTAAAGCCCTGTGCAAACCAAAGATAATAATGTAATTCTATCCTCTTTAGTTGCATAGAGACTATCAAGATTTATTAACCTCTGGAGTTAATTGTGACCATAGCTCTTAATTCCCTTTCAGACAACGGACCCTCATATGTCCATTTTTGTTTCTTTGCCTATATCTCTGTGTGCTACGTTTGTATTTTAAGTAGATTTACAACACAGATATTCACGTGTGCACTTAGTATAAGGTTGTTTTCTCCAGAGAGGCTCTGCCCAGAGACCAAAGAAAATGGAAGGTTTTGTTTTTGAAGTATTTAAAGATTATTTAATTTTTACATAGTATGAGATGTTGCTAATTGGGTTGGGAAGGTGATATTTTGGTTTTTGTTTTTTTCCCTTATGCCCTATCTACTCTCAAAAACTTAATAATCTGGTAAACTAAAACCCCAGAAAACCAACATACCCCTTTACAGTCCATAGTTATGCTTGTATGAGGCCAAAAAATTGTAGATATCAGTATATCATTGCCTCTATTATTAATCATCCTTTATTTACACCTGGATTTATGAGATTCTCCAATTAAAAGACATTTCTAAAATTCTATTAAATTTGTTTGATCTCAAGAACATTGAGAGTTGCAAATTTTTTTCATACTACCTCCCCCAAATAAACAAGCTGGGTGAATTCCTGTGATGTTAGGCTGCCGAAGAATTTTTAGAGGTTTTATAACACGTTTACTTTTTATGCCCAATCCACTCAAAAATGACAGACTCCAGAGATCACCAAGCAGAAGTCCTCTGTGGGAGTGAGACCCTGATCCTAATCCCCTAATCCAGACTCCTCACTGCCATTCAAAACACTTAGGGATTATATAGGAATAAGTTTTAAATGAACATAACAGGCAATCTATAGTGTTTTTAAATCAATACTATAAAAATTGTCATGTCATGTAAATTGCCTTAAAATATATTATACATATAAAATACTATGTTAAAATTAAATGTAATATGTCAGCTGTAAAGGTGAAAAAGTAGCTAACTAAAAAGTTCACAAATAATCTTTTTTCAGATTTTGTGTGTTTTCTCCTCAGCCAAAAGCCTCAAGATTCACTTGCAGCAGACTACCTCTTCATTTATGTTGGATTGCTCTTTAAACATTAGAATATCTTGTGATAAACAATAAGTTAAAGATTTCTCCTGACACAAGTCATTGTTGATTTCACTGTTATAGGGAAAAGGCTCTAGGGCGGCAGATAAGGCTGTTGCCATGGTGATGAAGGAGATACCGAGGGAGGAGTCTGCTGAAGAAAAGCCCCTCCTTACTATGACATCACAGGTGGGCAGACCCTTAGGGTTCCTGTAGGAAGCTGACATATGTTAATATATCAGATATTGTGATTCTTAACTAGAAAAAAAAAAACCATTAACTCGATCCAATTTTTTTAAAAACACAGTTTCAATGAAACAATTATACAATATAAAATGAAAACCAAAATTGCTAAAAAAAAAAAGGAAAATTCCATCATTTAGTTACTTATTCGTGGATATTAATTTTCATTACTAAACTTTAGTTAAAAAAAAGAAAATATATGTGCAAGTAAAACATGTCGCTTCTTTATAAAGGAGTCTTGTTAACAACTTTGGGAAAGAAATAACAATTAAGCTAACGGTACATTTGAACAACAACCAAAAAAAAAAAAAATCAAATTCCTATGAATAAATACAACTTATATTGCATACATATGTCAGTTTACCAGTAGAATATCTAAAATTTCTTAAATGTTAAATATATTTATGTTGTGACTATGCATACTACGTATGTCTATACATATTTATGTGGATAACTAATTTACAGGAATGAGCCAGAAGTCCCTGAGTCTCCATGCAGAAAATGGCATTGGTGGCCCCTCTTCTACTTAGTGACCTTGACAACAAAAATATCGTCTCTATTAAAAACACATGAGGGGCATTTTCAGTATTTATTATAATAAGTATAGAAAAAGATTTGCATTTGTATGCAAAGACACACTGAGAATGAATCCTGTATGTCCTCAGGGACTTTTGAAACACCCTGTAAAATCCACATACATATGTATGTATAATATACTCATCACCACTCTGTGGAACTATCAGTTTTAAATTCTTAAATGCAAAATTACTTACTTGCATTTATCTTATAATTTAGATTAGATTGTTATCTTAAACATTTCTTTTTTTTCTCCATAATGCAATAGTAAATACAGTGATTCAGTTCCAATTATATGAACATGTCTAGATTTAGAAAAATGTCCATTTAAATTCCTCATGAAAGGCATTTATATCAAAAGCTAAATTATGGCAACTTATTTTTAGAATATCATCAGATCACATCCCCAGCTGCTGCCAACATGTGTGGTTTCATTCCATTCTAAACACTATGTTGTAAGTAATGAAAATTATAATAACATATAACATCAAAATTGAATAATAAAAAAGTTATAAAGATTCCCAGGACTTTGGGATAATCTGACGTTGTGAGGTTTTTGTTTTTGTTTTAATCCAAAAGAGGAGATGTTTCTTCCCAATGACACATAGTAATAGTTGGAAAGAAATTTGCTTAATATTTACCAAGGGCTCCATTCTTTACTTAGTTTACATAGTAAAACATACACAGTTTTACATTGATCTCCTGCCTTTGTAGAATCAATATCCAAAATATACAGTCCACAGTTCCTCAGGAGAATGTTATGGGAGGTGAGAACCACTTGGAGTTCTCGGCTAGTGGTAGAGCCATATTCATCAGTAGATAAGACCTATCCAAATTTGCAATTGGCATAGTTGTGCTGCAGCATATCATTTCAGGACATCACGATTTAGGACAGGCTCTAGTGCCCAAAATTCTTTTTCTTCAAAACCATGCATTGCTATGTGCTTTCCAGTAATTCTTTTCAAATGTCCAAAATTACCACTATAACCTAAACTTTAATTTAAATTTAATGCAAAATAAGAATTTTGATTTTTCTAATTAGAAAAGAAACTGTAATTATTACCATTTTCTCATATTCAGAACATTTGTGTGTACCAAGTTCCTTCTTTAATCCCTGTCTAATGTTGCATTAACTGTCTTTGAGGTAATAGTTACAATTTTACTGCATGAAGATGATACAATGCTTTCTTTGATGCATCATATTCTTGTTGCATAGTGACTAGTTTATGAATCAGCAAATGGAGAGTTCTGATTCATAAAATGCAATGCACCTATTGTATTGATAATCTTATGGAATTAATCCTGTGACAGCTGTGATACAATTATTTCTCAGTCAAATGTGGTTTTATTAGTTGATATACTTTTTCCACTACACACAAGTGGCTTCTTCCCTGCTATGCACCAGTGGCATGCACAAGCCAAAAAGCAGCAGAATGAGCTGAAAAAGTGAGTACTTCTCATGGCAACCACAGCATCCAATCTGTGTACCATACCACATTCTTACTCGTTATCTTGTGTGAATGTATTAGTGTCTTGAAACATGTCTGTCCCATGTCTCCTGTAAAGCCCCTGTGACATAGTGCTACATACTGCAGGACACATTGACTCATCTTCATCACTGGTGTGTCGATGCCAGCTGCTCATTCACAGATTCCAGAAATGTCTGAAGCTAATTGCCGCTCTCTCAATAATGTCTTCAGGACAATCATAATTGATAAAATACGGAATAAGTCCTTGAAACACTGAGTCCCTGATTTGTTTAGTAACTGTTCATTCCACAGATTGCTAAGTGTAGAATAGTTTATATTGAAGCATTTTTGTATTATGTGATTATTAGGATCATTTTTAGAGAGATTTAGCCAAGCATACTCCAGTCAAGTCATTTATAGTACCTTGAACAAATTGAACAAAACAGAAGAGTTGGCCAGGTGACCTGAACTCAAAAATTGTCGGACCCCTGAGAATTGCTCTTTTTGTTTCATTTAATTATTAATTCTTTGCTAAACAATGTGTCAAGCTCTTCATAGTAGTTCAAGTTCATGCTGTCCTAGACTAACACTTTAAGTCAAACTTTAAGTCAAACAGTATGGAAACAAATGTGCATTGATGAGAGTTTTGAAGGGAAAAAATATGTGAACCATCAAGTCTTGGAGGAAATAAGAGTTTTTCTAGACCTGTGCTGTTCACTACAGTAGCCGCTAGCCACACGTGGCTATTGAGTGCTTTGTGGATACCCCGAATTGAGATATGCTGTAAGTATAAAATACACACCAAGTTTTGAAGATTTAGTCCAAAGAAAAATAATGTAAACTATCACATTAATAATTTTTATATTGATTACATGTTGAAATGATAATATTTTGGATATATTGGGCTAAATAAAATGTGTTATTAAAATTATTTTCACCTGTTTCTTTTCACTATTTTTAAAGTGGCTACTAGAAAATTTAAAATGACCAGGCTCTCATTATATTTCCATTGAACAGTACTACTCTAGACTGTAATGGTATAAATAAATCCAGCTTGAGGCTAGAAGGGAAAACTATGTGCCAGAAGATTGAGCATATCATAGAAAAATTTTTATTCTTCTTTATGAGAATGAAATGGCTTTATGGAATATTTTTCTCTCATAAGGAACCTTCAGAAATTTTCATTTTAACCACCTCCCCTGGTACTTTTGTAAGTAAGGAATAGCCCAGTCATTTTTTGCTGTAGAGCACAGTGTCTTAAAACTATGTGTTCCAGACCTCTTCTTGTCAAGGGAATTTTTTTTTAACTCAGGCTTTGTTTCTCTATCTGTCCCCACCCCTTATAGTTTGATACTGATTTAATATTGTGTCTGATAAAGATAAAAAAGTAATGTCCTTGATTGGAAAAACATTCACAAGGCTGCTAAATACAGTCTTGTTTGGGTTTTCTGTTACTAACTTGAAACAATTGCTTTAATTATATTCTCCTTCCTGCCTTGATGTTAGTACTATCCAAGCTGTAAACAATAATATTTGTTCATTTCCCCATGAATAGATTCACATTTTTATGTCTAACTATCCTGTCAGGAAAATATTTGTTGTCAGTTGGTTGACATTTAGATGAAGTCAAAGAGTTGAAAATTATCACATGGTTATCCTTTACAGGAAGATCCACGGAGACCCATATAAAGAACTGGGGGATGGGGCAGTGCCATTAGTACTATTAGCTCATAAGAAATTAATTCAGTCGGGTGGCAGAATTACCATGACAAAGCCTTCAAAGGCTGAATACTAAGGGGTGCATAGTAATGTTTCAGTTGTTTCCTCTTTTCAATGGATTGAGTCAGTCAACTTATTTTAATATGGTGACTATTTTGATGGGCTTTGCACACGTTTCTAAACTTGGATAGGACTAATAAAGCCATAAACAGTTTAATTATAAAATTATGAATGAAAACCTACTTAACCAATGACATATATTGTACTTTTAATCAAGAGAGTGCAAATAATAAAGGAATTTTCAAAATGCATAAAGATATGTCTATTGAAAGCATATTTGTGTTTTTATTTATATAAAAACAATCTTAATTTTTCTATTATTTAGATGAGATAAAAAGACTGGTATATTTTTACAAACTTTTTAATCAACATTACAAATACGAGATATTTGTCAACTGTTTTTTAGCTTATTCGCTTCAGTGTTTTAACTTTTAAAATTATTCTTTAAGTACTAAAATGTTTCAAGATAAAAACAGAATATTTTACTTTAAACTAAAACAATAGATTGAGATCATCAATCTGAAGTGTAAAATTATAGAATAATGAGTTATTATCCTATACAGACCTTGTTTTCTCACCTAAAATGTATTTTGGTTTGGAGTTAATTCTTAGTGATATGAGCTATCACAAACTTTAGCTCTATATTTTTTAATGAAACACCTAAGCAATATATTGTTTAAAGATAAAAAAACTTAGACTTAAGTTACAAAAAAAGCTATCTTTAATGCACTGGAGCTTAAGTAGCAGGCAGTATTTAAAAACAAAATACTCTCCTTTCATCTTGGTTAAATATTCAGCTTAGATCGTATAATTTAATTTTTTAACATTTAAATTAAGTAAATTCAAGTTGAACTAAGGCAAATGTATTTTTAGACAAAGTTTTAAAACAGACAATAATTCATTAAAGGTGGATGATATTGTCTGCACTCTGCTCAACACTAAACACAGTATTGATATAAAATAAGAAGCAATTTTGTCCTGTGGTGGCTACTACTAGCCACATCAACTGACCGGTCTGACTAAGTCATAAGTAAATTGAAGGCATTTGACTGAATATTTCATTTACAACCTATGATTACAAGGAAGGTGTAAAGGATCAATAGTCTTGAATTCTGAGTGACAAGAAGCTCCTACATGCGAGTTCTCACCTGTCTTCTTACTTCTGCTGCTTCCTTTCATTTCCATGTCCATTGACTGTGTAAGGGCTTTCTCTCAGAATCTCCAAATTTGAATCTCTGATTTAAAATCTCTGAGTGAGGTAGTGGTGTTATTTCTTGAAGTACCACTGGCTTCCCACTTGCATTGGTCCGTGTCCTGCTTCCAAAGATGGAATGAGGCAGTTCCATGCCTTTATTTCCATTTTTCTCGTTAGGCATTCATTCTTGGCATTTTTGACTTCTTGGTAGAAGCCTTGCATTTGGAAATGTTCCTTTAGATACCTCTAGGTTTCCAAGCATTTCAATGATGTGACAGTGGGGGAAAATGGACTTAGATTTGCGGTTTAAAATTTGCCAGGAATTTAGTAAACATTTCTGAGGACCACTGGCCTCTCTATGAGTTGATCAAACCCCATATGAAATTGAGGATGCCCATGCAATCATTCTTTTATACAATTCACCATTCAATTGGACTGTATAAAATCAGTCAACATTTATTAAACTGCCACTATGAGATACAAAAATTAATTGGATAAGGTCTCTACCTTCAAAGAGATCACAGTCTAGTGGGAGGAAACAGGTGAAACTAAGGTTATAAAATTGGGTAAAGCATGGGAACGCAGAGATGTTGTAAGAAGGCACTTGCCACCTAGAGCTGAAGAAGGTTCCCAGACAATGTGTCAATAGAGCGGGGTCCTGAAAGAGAAATAAGAATCTGTCACCATTAGAAAGGCCTTTGAACTAATCTAAATATTGAGAAGAGGACAAAGAAGGATAATAAAGGAAAATTTTTAATGTAAAGTTGAAATAAAGGCCCTAGCAACTAATGAAGTGGGTCATTTTAACTTAGTTAAGATCATCTGATTGGACCAAAATTGCAATCACTCCCACTCAGTTATTCAAAAAAAAAATTGGAAACCTTTTGACTCACCTTTTATTATTTTTATAACATCAATGTACTCTGTGCCAGAAGGATGAAATGAGGTAAGTTCATAAAGTATTTTCAAACTGAAGGAAGTAATTCTAAAAGGAAGTGAATAAGCTCTATCCTACCAATGAATAAAGACAGAATAAATGGCATACAATTTGGGAGTAAAGCTTAGGGGAACTATTTGGGGGATTCAGTTCAGTTTGCAATATTACTTTATGACCTAAAAGGTTTGCTTATTCTCAAGTCACCATAGGAAAACCATAAATTTGTTTGAAAATCAGGAGGGAGGCATGTGAAAAGCCATTCTTATCTATACAAGTAAAAATAAAATGGGACTTAGTAGGGCTAAAATAATGATTCTTAAATTCATCTGACTGAAGATACAGTTCAAAATTGGACTGTTTGAGATAGATATTTTTATATCTTCAGTTTCTGCAAAGTCACTGTCCCAGTTGGTAGCCATTTATTGAGCCCCTCTTATATGAAAACATTCTATTAGAAGTTGTGAAGGATATAAATATGAGTAAGACATAGCCTCTTACCTCAGAGTTAATAACAAAAGATTTTTTTCATGATATCTCCTATTTCATCTTCCATATCTCAATCAAAACCCAAAAACCTTCAGTTCCCAAATTACCTTTCCATGCTATCTGAAATCTGGCCTTTCATCCTCTTCACCCTTGAGCCCTGCCACTATCCCCACTCCAATCTCAGCATTTCCCAACAGCTAAATGGTGCTCTAGCTTGAAAAACACAGACTCAGAAAGTAATGTGAAGTTTCCTCTTTGATTTGTATCTATGGAAGAAAGTCACAGGAACAGCTCAGTCATGGGAACGGGACAGACATGTTATGGGAACAACTCCAGTCCAGGGGTGAAGTGTGGTCACAAATAAGACAGTAGGTGTGGAAAAGACCTTATGAGGAGAAGCCACAACTTAGTCTTGGGCTTTCTAGGGTCTCTCTGAATAACCTCCTCTTTGGTATTCTTTTCTTCCTATGCTGAGAAAATCTGAGTGCTAGAAGTGCTCTCCCTAGAAAATAAGTCTTTGGTTTGAATGAGGAGAGAGACTCAAAAAAAAAAAAATCCTATTACCTCTGATAAAGCAGACTTGCCTAAAAGGATAGGCCTTTCAATTAATTGTGGCTGTCCTTTGTTTGTCCATTTAGATATTTATGTGGAAAGGTCTTACTTTCTAGAATTCTTTTATCAAATTTAGACTAATTTTTCAGTGTTCGCAATTAAAAATATCTACAGAAATCTAATACCCTGGTCTTCTAAAACCATAGGTAATCTAGGTCTATTCTACACACCTACTCACAGAGCTATGACTTGGAAATAAATTATTAGTCCTTTTATTTACAAAGGAATTTAATTGTATACAAAGTAAAGAAAAAGTATAAGGGGGCTTTTGTGGAATATAAATCATAGGTACCTTTTACATAATAATGGATATTTCTCAAGATCAGGACTAAGAGAATAAATTTTCTTAGTTATCTATCAATAACATCATACTTCTTCAGAGAAATAATGGCTAACAAAAAGAGTTACGACATTACACATATGTCATACGTATTTTAAAGTTGAAGTTGTATTGGTTGTATTGAGTTTTTGCACCTTTTTCACTTTAGCCTAGGTCAATAAGACCTAGTAGTCAGAATGCACAACTTAATAAATGTAAGCCTGTTACAATAAATTCTATGAGTATAGTGTGGTGCCATATTTGATGGTGACCTTCATCTTCCATGATGTTTATAGCACAGCAGAATCCATCTCTCCCTTGACAGCTGTGAGAATGACACAGCCTGGAGGTAGACATTGTTGCTACATCAAGACCACATCACCATGGTGATATCATACTAGATGGGTTCAATATGCTAAGCATATATGGCTAAAAGGGCAAGTTCTCCCAAGAAATACACATTAATGTATGAGTCTTTAAGAAATTGCATAAACACAGTTTTTACATGAGCTACCTATAAATGAAAAACAGATCCCAGAAAACTAATCACATTTTCAGAAGAGCTGGCATAAACCATGGCATTTACAAACCTTCTAATATATTTTATCCCCAAAACATGAGAAGCTCATAATCCCTCAACATTAAAAAATATTTCAATATAAATAGGATGAGTGATACCCAAGAATGTTCAAATTCAGAAAACAAAATGCAAATAAACTCAAGAGTTTTGTTCATGGATTAAAGGAGCATCCCAAAAAAAAAGGTTACAACCAAAACAGACCTCAGATAATTTAGAGAAATCTGTGAGTCTTTATACATAGTAACACTAAAACTTATAATTGAAAATTTTTCTATCTCTATAACTTGAACATTAAAAGAAAATGAGCATTCTTAATGCTTAGAACCCTCGATAACATGTACAAATTAATGAGTGAAATTAAATTGCCAACTCTATCTCAAAATCTTAGACTTCAGTGAAGATCTGAGATTTATCCATGTTAAGATAATAGCATGAATGTGTAAAAGTACCAAAGGTGCCTCTTGGTTTTCAGTCCCCGAATAATCACTAATGCTTCCATATTCCTCCTTCACCGATAATAGAATTGCATTTTTTCTTCCCGTATTTACCATTATTTAGGTCTCTTGTCAGGGTCCATAAGCTCTAAGCTATAATACCACTAACATTGCCAGAGAAATAATGCAGTGAAAGTGAGTCATAGAAAATATTTTGATTTGGTAATACTTCAAAACACTTCATTTGTTATTTTATGTGTCTCTTAAAATACAGCCTTGCAAATAAGTATTTTAAAATCTAGAGATTTTTTGGCACATCTTTTTCCTATAGCAAGTAGAAAACTAGATGACTATGCCCATTTTAAGAAAGGCCAATATAAAAACTCGCCAAAAACTAAGACAGTTCTTTTAGGGACTAACCACTTGTGTTATCTTAAGTGTAATTTTCCCCTTACCCTTAGAAACAGAACTTAAGGATGTTTGGATTCAAAGAGGTGCAGAATAACTGAAAGTAAATAGTTGGCTGCCACTGATAATGAGAACTAATAAAAATCAAACTGAATGATTTCTGAAATTAGAGAACAAGCCAATGGGGAAATATAATTGAATTGACAGAAATCTCTTTTACATACAGATTTTCACAAGCATATATACTGGATACCTGTACAGTTAACAATACTTCCTACTCTCTCAAAATACTTGTTATGCACTACAAAAGCATTCCAAGGAAATGTAAGGAAGGGCGTGTGCCTTTAGGTGACTTGAGCTTTTTAAGAGAGAGAGAAAAAGAGCATTTATCCATGCACACGGATCTCTGTGTGTGTGCATGCTGTTACTACATAACAATGACTGACCAGTCCTAAACAGAATGTGTCACCTCAGGGTCTGAAGCCATGGTTCCAGGTCTCAGTGAGAGCTTTTTGTCCAGATGAAGAGTGAGATTGGCCCTTAGGAACTGTGATTCAATAGGTGTCATATTCTACATACTGAAATTAGAGAATAATTCCAAAACCGTTCTAGGAGGAGAAAAAAAGCTTGAGGTTTGAAAACTGAAGTTGGCTGCATCAAAAATATGACAGTGCTGAAAGGCTCATTCCCCATCCCCTGATTTTGTTTTCTTTCTTGCCTCTACCCTATTACTTACTGATTGGTTTATTTTTTGGTAGGCTTGCTATTCTCATTTTGTTGCAAGGCTGCATTTTAATTCATCTGATTCTGCAATTGGACAAAGTCCTTTGACACCTGTGTTCATTTGTTCCCAGCTGGTGAATGAACAGCAAGAGAGCAGACCCCTCCTGAGTCCCTCCATCGATGATTTTCTCTGTGAAACCAAATCGGAGGCAATAGCAAGGCCAGTAACGTCCAACACAGCCGGTAATTCTTTCACTTTTAACTTATCCTCAAGTGGAGTTAATTTTCATGATAGAAAAATGCACATTTTCTTTCCACAATGCATTTTAAGTGGAGAATAATGTTTGCAAACAAATGAAATTTTAGAATATATACTGTTCACTATAAACCAATAGATTGCTTTTCTTTATAATATAAGAAACTCCAATGGATATTATCCAACCAATTTTGAAAACATTAGAGTACCACTATTAGCAATGAATCATTTTTCAATGCCAATTTTCATACGTACATCTTTGCATCTCAAGTCACATCATATAGGAATTCTTTAAAACAAAAGCATCTCTTTCAGAGTAAGGTTTTTCAAGTTCTGGCTGGAAATATTTTGTGTGACAAAAGTCCAGTAAAATAAAAATATAGGAAACCCCTTCAAGTGGATTGAAATCACAATTAAAATGTCCTAGAGACTTGGGATATTATCGAGACAATTTTATTTTTTTGTCATATAAATGGATTAGTTGCTCCTTCTTACAACAATTTATTTGAACATTGTTCTGGAATTAAATATAATCAAACTGGAATTAAATATAATCAAACAGTAAGCTATCTGTATAGGGACTAATAAGTTGTCATCCAATGAGTGAATGCAGGATGCCAGTGTATCAATCACACCTTCTCCAGCATCCTCTGCACTTAAATTCTCACTAATTCGAAAACTAAGTCACTTAGGTACAGCCCACTCTGAGGCCACAATGGAAGATTTGACTCAAAAGCTACTTGTCGCCTTCTGGATCAGCGGCAGCCTTTCTGCATTGGTTTCATTCAGTCAACATTCACACTCAAAGGCATGTTGTTCAAATAAGAATGAAAGAATGATGTCCAGAATCAAACAACAAAGGTTACATTAGATTGCAGGAGAGAATTTAATGGGGGAAGGAGAGGATAATTATATACTGTCTTGTTAAAGTTCATTTCATTTCCCCATCATGTCCTCAGCCTGCTGCTTCCTGGAATAGTTTTATTATACTTTTAAGTAAGTGAAGAAAATCACAGGTGAAGGAAATTGTGATTTTTAAGAAATGCTAAAAATTACAACAATAAGAGTAACTAACACAAGATAGAGGCACTTTATGTGGGAGTGTAGTCTACAGCCTCTGGAGTTAAACTTTGTGAATTCCAACCCCAACTCTGCCACTTAGCAACTCTGTGTCCTTGAGCAAGTTGCATAAGTAAGTCTATTTCCTCATCTGTCTAATAGTAGTAAGATCTATATCTCATAGGTTACTTGGGAAGATTAAATGAAGCCATCTGTGTAAGTGCTAACACACCAAAGCAGTCATTTTCTAAATTCAACTACCGCTTTGAGTAATCAAGCAAATAAAATTGTACTTGGTACATTTTAGGCAGGAAATGAAACAAGTTCAGATCCTGTCAGATCAGTTTCATCCTCCTTACCTATGAAACTGGAGCTCACCCCTCCAAAACTGAGCTACCCCCAGAAAAATACAGAGGAGCCTTGTGTCTCTAATTGCAGGAAAATCCATGAAAATGGGGTACACTGAGAAATTTCCGCTGTTCTAAGAAAAAGCTGCGAAGCATAATTCTCAGATCTTGATTCCAGTACCCTCTACAACTCTCAGGAAGGATAGAACTAAGTCACATAGGAAGGGCTCACCAGAGAGAGCAACGTAATATCCAACTCAAAAGCTGCTTTTCACCTTGATTTTTCTAGCATATAACAGAGAGACCTGTGAAATACTGGAGGAAATTACATATTCAAAAGAATATATAATTTCTTGCAATCCCAGAACCTAGAGTATTGCCTTCTGTATTAGTTTCCTAGGCCTGCCATGACAAAATGCCACAAAATGAGTGGATTAGACAACAGAGATTTATTGCCTCACAATTCTAGAAGCTAGAAGTCCAAAATCAAGGTGTCAGCAGGACCATGCTTCCTCTGAAGGTGCTTGGGAAGGATCTGTTCCAGGCCTCTCTCCTGGTTTCTGGTAGCTCTGTGACTTGTGGAAGCATAACTCTAATCTTCACATGACATGTGTGCATGTCTCCCAGTATGCATGTCAGTCTCTGTGTCCAAATTTCCTCTCTTTATTACCACCCTACTCCAATCTGACTCATCTTAACTAATTACATCTCCATTGACCCTATTTCTAAATAAAGTTACATTCTGAGGTACTGGGGGTTAAAACTTCAACATATGAGTATTGGGGGGACACATTTCAATCCATAACACCCTCCAAAGTAAGAGGTCAGGAAAAATGGCATGTTGAGACTATGGGATTTTCATTGCTTGGCCTCAGCATTCAGTGCATCTGGGTCACACAGATTTTTATCTTTAAGGAAGACTCTCATTTGATAGTATGTTCTTTTTAATCTTAAAAATATATGTCTAGGGGGGCTTCCCTGGTGGCGCAGTGGTTAAGAATCCACCTGCCAATGCAGGGGACATGGGTTCAAGCCCTGGTCCGGGAAGATCCCACATGCCGCAGAGCAACTAAGCCTGTGTGCCACAACTACTGAGCTTGCGCTCTAGAGTCCATGAGCCACAACTACTGAGCCCATGTGCCTAGAGCCCGTGCTCCACAACAAGAGAAGCCACTGCAATGAGAAGCCCGCACACTGCAATGAAGAGTAGCCCCCACTTGCCACAACTAGAGAAAGCCCATGCGCAGCAACGAAGACCCAACGCAGCCAAAAATAAATAAATAAATATATATATATATGTATTCAGGGGGACCCTCAAGACGGCAGAGGAGTAAGACGTGGAGATCACCTTCCTCCCCACAAATACATCAAAAATACATCTACATATGGAACAACTCCTAAAAAACACCTACTGAACGCTGGCAGAAGATCTCAGACTTCCCAAAAGGCAAGAAACTCCCCGCATACCTGCGTAGGGCAAAAGAATAAAGAAAACACAGAGACAAAAGAATAGGGATGGGACCTACACCTCTGGGAGGGTACTGTGAAGGAGGAAATGTTTCCACACATTAGGAAGCCCCTTCACTGACAGAGACGGGGGGTGGGCAGGGGGGAAGCTTTGGAGCCATGGAGGAGAGCACAGCAACATGGGTGCAGAGGGCAAAGCAGAGAGATTCCTGCACAGAGGATCAGTGCCGACCAGCACTCAGCAGCCTGAGAGGCTTGTCTGCTCACCTGCCAGGGCAGGCGGGGTCTGGGAGCTGAAGCTCGGGCCTTGGAGGTCAGATCCCAGGGAGAGGACTGGGGTTGGCTGCGTGAACACAGCCTGAAGGGGGTTAGTGCGCCACAGCCAGCCGGGAGGGAGTCTGTGGAAAAAGTCTGGAACTGCCCAAGAGGAAAGAGACCATTGTTTCGGGGTGTGTGAGGAGAGGGGATTCAGAGCACCACCTAAACAAGCTCCAGAGATGGGCGTGAGCCGCGGCTATCAGCATGGACACCAGAGACGGGCATGAAATGCTAAGGCTGCTGCTACAGCCGCCAAGAAGCCTATGTGCAAGCACAGGTCACTATCCACACCGCCCCTCCCGGGAGCCTGTGCAGCCCACCACTGCCAGGGTCCTGTGATCCAGGGACAACTTCCCTAGGAGAACACACGGCATGCCTCAGGCTGTTGCAACGTCACACCAGCCTCTGCCAACGCAGGCTTGTGCCACGTTCTGTACCCCTCCATACCCCCAGCCTGAATGAGCCAGAGCCCCCTAATCAGCTGCTACTTAACCCCATCCTGTGTGAGTGAAGAACAGACACCCTGAGGAGACCTACATGCATAGGCGGGGCCAGATCCAAAGCTGAATCCCGGAGCTGTGGAAACACAGAAGACAAAGGGAAATCTCTCCCAGCAGCCTCAGGAGCAGTGGATTAAATCTCCACAATCAACCTGATGTACACTGCATCTGTGGAATACCTGAATAGACAACGAATCATCCCAAAATTGAGGCGGTGGACTTTGGGAACAACTGTAGACTTGGGGTTTGCTTTCTGCATCTAATTTGTTTCTGGTTTTATGTTTATCTTAGTTTAGTATTTAGAGCTTATTATCATTGGTAAATTTGTTTATTGATTTCGTTGCTCTCTTCCCTTTTTTTTTAATATATATAATATTTTCCTTTTTCTCTTTTTGTGAGGTTGTATGTATATGCTTCTTTGTGTGATTTTGTCTGTATAGCTTTGCTTTTACCATTTGTCCTAGGGTTCTGTCGGTCTGTTATTTCTTTGTTGTTGTTTTTTTTTAGTATACTTTTTAGCGCTTGCTTTCATTGGTGGATTTTTTTATTGGTTTGGTTGCTCTCTTCTTTCTTTCTTTTTTTAATTACTTTTTTATATTTAACAATTTTTTAATGTTAATAACGTTATTTTATTTTATTTTTTTCTTTCTTTTTCTTCTCCCTTTTCTTCTGAGCCATGTGGCTGACAGGGTCTTGGTGCTTCAGCCGGGTGTCAGGCCTGAGTCTCTGAGGTGGGAGAGCTGAGTTCAGGACATTGGTCCACAAGAGACCTCCTGGCTCCATGTAATATCAAATGGCAAAAGCTCTCCCAGAGATCTCCATCTCAGCAATAAGACGCAGCTCCACTCAATGACCAGCAACCTGCAGTGCTGGACACCCCATGCCAAACAACTAGCCAGGCAGGAACAAAACCCCACCCATTAGCAGAGAGGCTGCCTAAAATCATAATAAGTTCACAGACACCCCAAAACACACCACCGGATGTGGTCCTGCCAACCAGAAAGACAAGATCCAACCTCATCCACCAGAACACAGGCACCAGTCCCCTCCACCAGGAAGCCTACACAACCCACTGAGACAACCTTACCCACTGGGGGCAGACAACAAAGACAATGGGAACTACAAACCTGCAGCCTGCAAAAAGGAGACCCCAAATGCAGTAAGTTAAGCAAAATAAGAAGACAGACAAATACACAGCAAATGAAGGAGCAAGGTAAAAACCCACCAGACCAAACAAATGAAGAGGAAATAGGCATTCTACCTGAAAAAGAATTCAGAGTAATGATAGTAAAGATG